ACGGTCAACCCCGTCTCTCCTAAAAAATACAAAAAGCTAGCCGGGCGAGGGGGCGGGCGCCTGTAGTCCCAGCTACTCGGGAGGCTGAGGCAGGAGAATGGCGTAAACCCGGGAGGCGGAGCTTGCAGTGAGCCGAGATCGCACCACTCACTCCAACCTGGGCTACAGAGCAAGACTCCGTCTCAAAAAAATAAATAAATAAATAAATAAACACAAAAAAGGAGAATTTCTTTTAGAAGTTTCAAGTTTTTTCGATTCCTAAGTCTGCCTGGCTGTCTATGCTCTTGTGACAGGGCCAAGTTAAACAGAGACTTAGAAATAACAGTGATAGAGCACGCTATGTTTAAATCTGAGGCATATACATCTATACTTTCAAATGAAATAAGTACATTTCCAGAAACATTCTCTCTTCCAAATGGGTTACTTCCCTAAATATATACTCTCTCTCTTTTAATGTTATTTTTCTTAAATTCACTGATGCAATCGGCCAGAACAAGGAATTCTCACTTGAAAGTTAAGAAATGTCAGTAAACTACAGAATAAAGTTTGCAATATCCCATAACTTGACAGATATGAGCATCAACATTCTTAGAGAACCAACAGTGAAGTTTTAATGTAGACAATTATATCGGCTATTTTTTATGGGCCAGTATCTACATCATGGGGACCTTCAGGAAACAAACAAACAAAAAAACAAACAAACAAAAAACTGCTTTATTTATAACAGTATCTGTAGCACCGTGGCTGGTATAGAGTATGTACTAAACCACTGTCCTCTTTAATAAGGAATTGGTCCTTTCTTGGACAAAAAGAAAATGAACAAACTTGCTTTTGCTTTGCAATGAAATGCTATTGGTGGTACTGAAGAAAACTGAGACACTAGATTTACTACATACTTTTTTTTTCGTATCTATCTACCATGAAAAATGCTTTCGGGTGTTTGATTTACAGTTGGAAATGTCCTCCAAAGCAATCTTTTCTAAAATTGTGAAGCTCAGTTGCATTCATCATTAATTCCATGTAGCCATCTTAATATCATCCCTTCCTGTTTTCTCCATCCCTACTCTACTCTATTTCTGATGCATGGGGTTTGGTTTCCTTGTTCCAGAGTTCCCCCAGGATTAGTGTCCTTTCTAAATAATAAGTCCGGATGTTCATATTGTCTCCTTTTACCTTCTGCTAGGTAACTTTCATAGACCAGAGTGTTGAGGTTAAGTGTTGGTCCAAATCCTTCCATCTGTTCAACAGCTGTTCAAATGGGAAGGCAGCCCAGTAGGCAGATGTCTCCCATCCTTAGAACAATGAAGACATTTTATTGGGTATTTGATATGGTTTGTATCTGTGTCCTCACTCAGATCTCATGTTGAATTGTAATCCTTAATGTTGGAAGTAGGACATGGTGGGTGGTGATTGGCTCATGAGGGAAGATTTCTGATGAATAGTTTACTACCATCCTCTTGTTGATGTCCTTGTGATGGTTGGTGAGTGAGTTGGTGAGATATAATTGTTTAAAATTGTGTGGCACCTTCCTCCTCTCTCTTCTTCCTGCTCTGACCATGTGACATGCCTGCTCCTCCTTTGTCTTCTGCCATGACTTTAAAATTCTTGAGGTTTCCCAGAAGCTGAGCAGATGCCAGCATCATGCTTCTTCTATGGCTTGTAGAACCATAAGTCAATTAAACATCTTTTTCTTTATAAATTACCTAGTCTCAAGTATTTATGGCACTGCCAAAATGGACTAATGCAGGATTCCTCCTCAATCTTAACAGTTCTTTTCTACCTGATAATTACGAAGCACCAGAAATAAAATAACAAGTTGTCTGTAGTACCTTGCTTTAAAGTTTCAATTCACCAGTCTTATTGTTGGCTTAGCTGAAAGAGTGAAGGGTCATATGAATGCTATACACAGTGGTAAGATTTAATGAGGATTTTTTTTCATTTTTAACAAGAGGATATTATTGGAACTTCCATTACACAGAGCAGGGGGCCATGAAAAAGGTCTGGGCTTTGTGGTCAGTAAGCCCAAATTTTCCCTCTTTCCTAAGATGTTTTAATTTGGTTAATGATATTAATAGTAACGACATTTCTGCTAAGACTTCAACCAGAAGACTGATCTCACTCAGATATGGAGCTCAAATTTATATTTCTTCACTGTTCAGAAAAAAAAGGTGAGAAATTAAAATTGTCCTAAGTTGGTAGTACCACCTGGCACCTGGCAGAAGTTAAAAAAAAATCTTATTTTGAGGAAAGTGTCTTGATTTTTGATCCTTAGAGTTGTCACAAATTAATTGCGATCAGTATGAACAAACACACATGCACACACGCACACACACACACACACAGCATAAGGAAACAAGCCACCACAGGAAAAAAATCTAGAAAACAGCTAGTAACAGACTGGGACCCTCACAGACTTCAGATGTTGAAATTATCAGAGACAAAATGTTTAATAACTATTAATTAAATGCCTAAATACATAAAAAGATGGAAACGAACAAAAGAATGGAGACAACAAATTATCTTTTTTAATAGTCATGCTTCAAAAAGAGCAAAATATTATTTTTAGAAATGAAAGATAAAATCAATAAGAAATGATTCATTGAATGAGATTAGGCATAAATAAGGAGAGGACTAGTGAATGTGATGATAAAGCCAAATGAATTGCCCAGAATGCAAGATGTTATATCAAAGAATGAAAACTACAAGAAGAGTGTAAGAAATATGATGATAGAATTAGCAAGTCTAAGTTCATATAATTTATATATAAAAGAATTGAGTAGATAGAATAGGAGGAAGTAAGATTTGATACTTTGAGAATTTTTAAGAACTGATGAACGGATACGTATGAATAATAAATATGAATTGGATGCATAGACACATATGACATAATGAACAGGAAACATTAAAATATCAAGTAAGATACTTTAAAAAGAAATCTACAAGCAGACACCTGATGACAAAACGGCAAAACATCAAAGAAAAAGGGATGACTTTAAATCAACTTGTAGGTGGTAGGCACGGAGGTGGTCAGAGTACCTACAAAAGCAGGACAGATGGACAGCTGACTTCTTGGTAGCAACCAGGGGAGCCAGGAAACAAGAGGACACTGATGTGCCAGTGAATCTCTGAAACTGGCTCTTCAGTAGGAAGAGGTAGGGAAAGTCCTGGCTTTTAGCATTTCTGATACCCACAGTGTAAACCCTCCTACTACAGCTGATTTCAAGCTGGCATCCTGCCACCATTGAAGGATGCAGAGTTGGGGAGAGACGTGTATACCTGACTTTTACAGGTATATGGGCTCCATGACACTTCCATCTTATAGGTACACTGGCTCCATAACACCTCTGACTAATTTCTCTACATCTGAGAGAAAATATTCTTCAATATTGAATTGAAGATCTGGCAAAATCATCTTCCAAGATTAAAGGTAAAATACAAACCTTTTGTTCAGGGGAAAAAAAATCTCTCTCTCTCTCTCTCTCTCTCTATCTATCTATCTATTGAAGGAAACACAGAAAAGAATTCAAAAGAATTTAGTTCAAAAGAAGAAAATAAAGTCTGGCAGAAAATAGAAAAGTCTGAGATAAAGGAAGAAATGAGGAATATATAAACTAGTGTCTATATTAATATATCAAAAATAAGCAGTATCTAAAAACATAAAAATGAGTATTATTAGGAGGGGGAATGGAATCAGAAATAAATGAAACTCAATCTGGGATCAGTGTTGATTGGTTCTTCCAACTGCTATTTGGGGAACTAAAATGGACATTTTTTTGACCCTACTGCAGCTAGCTTTCTGGATCAACATCACATCTGGAAATTATAAACCCTTTATGAAGCTTGAGGGCTGTAGCAGGAATCATTTTTCTGCCTTTTCAGCTCTATCTACCGGCAAGCAAAAGCAGGGGCGCGTGCTGCCTTCTTCACAACCATTTTTCAGAGACCTCCTCCTTCTACTTATGAATTTGCATACAGTCTGGGGCACGGGGAAGTCATTCCAAAAGACCCCACAAAGAACTCACACTGTAAGTATACAATTTTGTAAGAGCAACTAACTTACTGTTTTAAATGTATTTCTGCTCACAATGCCTTGAGTTATTAATGTTTTCTGCACTGTACTGTGATAGAGAGAGAGAGAGTCAGAAAGAATATGATGGAATCACAGGAAAAGTTGGATATATAGGAAATAGGGTAGCATAAACAAGTTCAATTGTACAAGTAGCTCCATAATGTAAAAGGACCTACATTTGCCATTATAAAAAAAAAAAAAAAGGATGGACAGATTGGGTATAAAAATAAAATCTAGCGGTATGTTCTTCACAAGATCTCCTACAAAGCCGAAAGAAAAGGAAAACTTGAAAGAAAAAGAATGAGAAAAGAGGCCAGGCAAATACTAAGTTAAGTGAGACTGTAATAGGAATATTAATAATGGGCAAAATAAATTTAAGCATTGAAAGACATTACTAAAGTTTAAAAAGATCACTTAAGTGTGATGAAATGTTCACTTCATCAGGTAGATAAAAAATTTCCATCTTGTATGCATGTAATGGATACTCTCATTATATATAAAGTGAAAATTGACAGAACTTCCAGTAGAAAAAGAGAAGATTCACTATTATGGTAGGAAATTACAATGCCTTTAAAATTTTTGATGAACGATTGAGTTGTTCAAATCCTTAATTTATGCACTCATACATTTAAGTTAAAATTAAGTAAAACTTGAAAATATATTTTAAAATTAAGTACACATTTAAGTATTCTGCTAAATTACTTTAATATTTTACCTCTTGGAAATTTTTATAAAATAAGATAGAAATGCAGTGCCTATTTCTGCCACAGATACATCTTGGCATTTTCTGAACAAGAAATCTTGGTTTCAGATCTCAGATATGACGGGAGCAAAAGGCTGCAGACTTGAATCCTTAAACACCCTAATGAAAATTATGTATTCATTTATTTTAATAAAGCCCACTGGAAAGGTATGAACTAGAACAACATACCTGTGACTTTGCCCAGGGTGAGTGACCTTATAACCCTGAACTCTACTTCTGGAGAGAAGTTATAACTGAGTCGAAGTTGATGGTCCATCTGCAGGAAAACAGAAAACAAAGGCACATCAGCACAGGTCTGCAAGTAAGAAGCATAAAACGATCCCATCTGGAAATAGCTTGAAACAACGCACACAGAGAGCAGATCCCCCTCTGAGATTTCCTCTCCAGAGAGATTAGACAGGTCTCGCTAATTCTCCCACAATGCACATAAAATACCCCTTGCTTTCTTCTTTGTGAAATAAGGGTTTTCACACAAGTCTTCTCCCTGGGAAACTGTATATAGCGTTTTACAGGTATTTATCTCCCCATTGAGATTTTCTCACCAAATTCTTTGCTGCAAACAAGCAAACAAATGAAACCTGCTCAGGAACTTGCTGTGCAAGATTAACATTCATAGGAGGCAGGAACTCATTTTCCATTTCTCCTCCTTTCTCTCAGTTTGTCCTTAGGGCCACCACTGCCTCCATTGTTCCATAATTCTAACCTGGTCTCATTTAGGTGTGGGCAGAGAGCTTTTCCTGGGCAAGGACTGCAGTTCGACAAAACATGTGGCCCTGGGGAGGAGAGGGTAGCTGAACAGTTAGTTGCAACCAACATAGACGGTTGATAATCCCATCTTGCAGGGGTGAGCAAAAGCCACCACCGGGACTTTAATAGGACTTTATTTCTATGACCATCCTTTAGAGATCCCTCCTTACTTCACCCATTGCTAATTCCAGCTCCATCTGTTTGGTCCCCTCCCCATTCCTAGGAGACCTCCCCATTCATTCTCACTTTTTCAGGTTAGCCATATCCTACTGGTTTCTTCCAGGCTCTACTCTGACTATGCATATGGTGCTATTCCTGGAAAGGATCCTCATTATTTTTCAGTTCACCTGTAAGAAGAGGAGACTAAGATCCCATTGGCCATGTGCCTAACTTTGCACAGCTTGGGTGCAACCCACCGGAGATTCATACATAGTCCTCACATCTTCCTTGCCATGACTTTCCTTTGGCATGGCTGCTCAGAATGACCCTCCTCTGTTCTCAGGCAACTTACATTCTAGAGGAGAGAGCTAGGACAGAAGATTTGATAAGTAAATACATTGTATTGGAACTTAAGTGCTGAGAGAAAAAAAATAATGCAGGCAAGGATAAGAGGGAGTGTAGGGTTGAAGTCAAGGAAATAGATTGTTCTATTAAATAAGCTGATCAGACACGGCCTCAATGAGAATGACCTCTTGAATCATTTGAGTCCAGAAGGAAGTACAAGAACTGGACATGTATATACATAAAGAATAGCATTCTAGGCAAAGCAGTGAGTCCAAGTGCTCTGCAAATAGCAAGGAGGCCAGAGTGGCACAGCTAACGTTCCAGAGGTCATATAATTAGATGAGGTTAGTGAAGCAACCAGAAAGGGAGCAGGGGTGTCAGATCATGGAGATCCTTATAAGCCACTGGAAGACCTTTGACTTTTTCTATGTAAGAGAAAGGAAACCATTGACAGGGTTTGGACAGAAGAATGCCAGAGTCTGACTATTCCTTCACCAGGATCACTCTGACTGCTGTGTTGAGGATAGACAGCTGAAAAAACCTAAAGAGGAGCAGGGAGATGTCAATCAAAAGGCAACTGTAAACAGTGATAATCCAAGCAAAGGACAAGGGTGGCTTGCGGAAAGGTAGCTGCTAATGATCCACGAGATGCGGCATGTAAGAGAAAGAGAGATGAAAGGAGAACACCACAATTTTGAGATTGTGTACTTGAAAAATGAAGCTGCCACTAACTGGGATATGCTTTTGGGGATGAGGTCATTGTTTCAGAGGAGCTTCCTAATAAGTCAATTTTAACTATTGACTTAAATATTCCGATGCCTAACAGACATTCCTATAGATATGCCCAGTAGGTTGTTGGTATAAGGTCTGGAATCCAGGGACAGGATTAGTGTTAGATACACATTCAGGACTGATTAATTGGCATGTACATGAAATTTAAAGATGTGAGATTGAATGAGATGAGTATGGAGTGAGTATAGATCAAAAGCAGAAGTTGGAGTCCTTGGGTGTTCTGATGGCTAGAGTTTTGAGAGATGATGGGAAACCAACAAAAGAGACAAGAGGGAGCAACTAACACAGGCAAAAGGATCAACAGGCGAGAGTTGTATCCTGCAAGCAATAAAGACTCAGGTCAATTGCAAGAACAGGAAGGAATCCTGATGTCAGTTGCCAGTGAGAGGAGAAGGAAAGATAACACTGAGACATGACCACCAGATTTTGCAAGGTAAGCACACTGATGCCTTAAGAAGTACAATTTTGCTGACGCACAGAGACAAAACCTTTTCAGTGTGGGTATAAGAAAAAGGTAGGGAAAATTTGAAGAACAAACATATAAACAACATTTCCAAAAATATGGGCAAGAAAATGACAAAGAGAATGGAACACTGTAAGAAGTCAGATAAGAGAAAGGTTTCCTCTCTTTATCCAGAGATATGCTGGCTTGTTTGCTTGTTTAGCTATTGTCATTGTATACTAGTTCTTAATGCATGTAATAATTATTTGTTTTATGCTTTGGGGAGTCATTCAGTAGAGCTGGAACAAATGATGAAACAGAGGGAGGAAGGAGAATTCTGGAGTGATTTTCTTCAGTAGGATATCAGATCTGGCCCACAGGTAGTCAGGTCAGGCCTTAGCTAGAACCATGAACTATTCCGGAGGGAGAGAGAGTGCAAACACAGATGTGGTAGGTACGTAACGTGCTCTTGAGAATGTGCAGATACTCTCTTCTGAATGTTACATTTTTACAAGAAATAAGAAAGCAAAGTCATCTGCTGAGAGTTAAGACAAACTGGCAATTGTTAGCAGTATAAGTAAAGAGGAGAGAGTGTAAAATGGTCAACCGGGAGAACAGGAGAACAGACAGATTAAAAAACATGGAGTGATTGCTGGGCAGATGCAAGGGCTTGCTGAGGGTCATGATTCCAAAGGGGATGATCTGGGCTCTGTCTATTCTCTGTTGAGCTCTGCCATCATCTGCTGCTGGCCCTTTATATGGAGCTCACTGAGATCTCATGGGGTGCCTCCCACACAACACGCTTTCAGACAGCTTTAGCCTGCGCTCACACGGACCCTCTTCCTGAGCACTCGCCTCCATGTGGCCAACTTCTACTCATCTTCAAGACTCAGCTTACTCCTAACTTGCTCCAGGGAGTAAGTACTGATACCCAGGTGGGATCAGCGCCCTCTTCAGTATCACCTGTGCATTCTTCCTCCACAACCCTTCCCACAGCCTGTGATGATTTCCTCTTTGCCCATGCATCTTCCTCACTTTAATGCAGCCCAGGGGTTGGCAAATCTGAGCAGACATTAGTATCACCTGCTGCTTTCCCCTCTTCCATAGCCTCTAATTTAGTAGATCTAGTGTGGAACCCAAGAATCTGCATTTCTGTTTGTTTGCTTGTTTGTTTGTTTTTTGAGATGGAGTCACTCTCTCTCCCAGGCTGGAGTGCAGTGGAGGGATCTCTGCTCACTGCAACCTCCACCTCCCGGGTTCAAGCGATTCTCCTACCTCAGCCTCCCCAGTAGCTGGGATTACAGGTGTGTGCCACCACACCTGGCTAATTTTTGTATTTTTAGTAGAGACGGGGTTTTGCCATGTTGGCCAGGCTGGTCTTGAACTCCTGACCTTGTGATCCACCTGCCTCATCCTCCCAAAGTGCTGGGATTACAGGCGTGAGACACCACACTTGGCCCAAGAATCTGCATTTCTAACAGGGTCCCAAGTGATGCTGATACTTGTGGGACATGGGAAGCACATCTTGAGAACCACTATCCTAGTTCTTCCAAGTCTGGGGGCAAGTGTGATTTGTAACTATGTTTCCAGCACTAGGCACTACACTGGTATCGGGTAGAAGCTTAGAAAAGTTTGATAGAGTAGCCAAGGCACATTGGCTGATACAGGAGAAAGTAAGGAAGGTACCTGAATGGTAAGCTCCCTTCCCTCTCGGTTAATCTTCAAGTGGTGCATCCTTCTGTTAGCAAAGTTATCTGCATCAATGGTGAATACATGGGTTTCTTCCTTGTTTAGGTGATAGCGAACCTGTAAGCTTCCTTGAAAGAAAAAAATATTAGAAATTAGAATTTAAAGCAACACCTATAAAATGCAAAGACATGATCAGATTGTCTTTTAATTGATTATTAGGGCCCCAGGTCTTAATCCTTCCATTATTCAATTTTTAAAAATATATTACGTATGTTTATCAGGGTCCCTACAGAAAATTCTGAGGAGAGCTGCAAAATTAATGAGAGAGAGAAAGAGAGAGAGAGAGAGAGAGAAAGAGAGTACGTGGTGCTATGGCAAACTAAAATGACAAATGACAGTTTAGAAAATAAAACATCTATTTGGTAATTGGATCATGAAACTTTAATAAGGTAGAGTTAAGATCTTTTCTACTTTCTCTTCAATTCCTACCACTTCCTATAACTCTCTTTCTTCCTAATTGCTGTCTCCCTTTTATATCTAAGGACTGGAAAGAGAATCAGTCCTGTTATCACCCATTGATGTATAACGCTCATGATGGGAGTGTGGCCAGGTTAGGGCCAGGTTAGGGCACCCTGCCTCACTTTAACCCTTTAGGGTCCTTTAACCCTCTTAACCCTTTCCAGCCCATTAAAACGTTTTATTAGGATTAGGATTGTGTTTTTCAAACAGCTGTTAGCTATTCCTTGTTGGTTAGGAAATCCATTTACTGGGTCTCAATCAGCATTTCTTACAAAAAGAAGCAGAATTTAGCTATATGAGACTCCCAGGAGACATATTAAAAATGAAGTGTATCATTTGTGTGTGTATGCGTGTGTGTGTGTGTGTGTGTGAGAGAGAGAGAGACAGAGAGAGAGAGAGAGAGAATATTAGCTCACAAAGCAAAACGGCCACTTGGGAGAGATTTGTTAAGGGACACAAAATTACAGCTAGATGGAAGGAATAAGTTCTAGTGTTCTATGGCACTGTAGGATGACTAGAGTTAACAAAAGTATATTGTACATTGTTTCAGATAGCTAGAAGGAGAATATTAAATGTTCCCAAAACAAACGATAAATGTGTGAGATGATGGATGTGCTAACTACCCTCATCTGATCACTATATATATATATACACACACACATTGCTATGTACCATATAAATATATACAAGTATTATATTATATGTCAATTAAAAATAAACTTCAAAAAATGTTTGAAAGACACTCTATATTTAAAAATTGCCATAGGGGCAATAAGTTGTTGAGCAGCTACTTTATCTCAGATACTGCGCACTTTTTCTCATTTGATCCTTTCCCCAGCGTCACTGGCTGTGAGTTGAGCCAAGTGGCCAAACTACACGCTGCTTGCTGTCCTTTTCTGTCTGTAGGCGTCATCTAGTTGGAAGTCACTGGAGTCCCACACACCAAATGGCAGGAGCTCTTCCCTTGGACATATATGGGAACGGAAAATAATTGGAACTGAGGAGCAATGTCATAAGCTGATGGCCACTGGGGAGAAAGGAATGTCTGCTAAAATTTGAGCTGAGAACAGCTGAAGTAACTCTTTCTTCTCATCCCCTCAAAGTTTCTCATATCCCCCCCGCAAAAAAAGAAAAAAAAAAAAAAAACCAACCTCCCTGAACGTCCTCAGCCTTCCCATCTTTCCCAGGCTGCCAATCCCAGTAAGGCAGGAGGGTTGTGAGTAACCACCATGTCCCTGACTGATCCCCAGTCCTCACCCAAGTATTTGAATACTTTTGTGGGAAGAGGGCAGGGACTGTTTCAAACATAAGTTGCTACTCATAGAATTTCAGAATACGTGCATGTGATACAAATGCTTGTAAAATAACATAGGGAAGAACAGAAAAAATGTAGTTTGGGGCTATGAGGTCATTGCCTAACACAGTGGGCCAGAAGGAGAAGCTCTCTATACCTGATACTGGTTTTCCTGGTTCATTCTTTCTCTGTGGTTCTGACCATTGCAGATTTCCGGATATTATTATTTTTGTTATTTTACTACTTAGAAAGTAATGGCTGCTCCTAACAGCAACATATTTTGCACAGACAGGAGCTGTTGGGGGCGGGTCACTGTGCAGATCATGGGCAAGTTACCCCTCCTGCCTGTGGCAGGGAAAGGGCCATCTCATGCACTAGTGGGCTGCTGGGCAGCGTGCTCTTCCACACTTTTCTAATTCTAAGAATCTGTGTGTCTTAACATTTAATTCGACCTCATAGAACAAACCAGTGTGCAATAATTATGTGCCAGGCATAATGATCAACCCCACATTCCTTAAGGCTGTCGAACTCTCTTAACATCTCACTGTTCTGGTAATTCATATTCACACACACACACACACACACACACACACACACACACACACACACATTCTTTACATATTTTTCCATTTTTGATAACACTCTCATTTTATACATGTTTACTGGCATCCCTCTTGACACCATTCCTCTTAGGAACTAGTAATCTCAGCAGTGATCCTATCTACTAAAGTGTTCTGAAGCTTCCCCCAATAGCCAAGTTTGTGCTAAAACAAACAAATGAAAACCAAACAAAATACCTCAACTAGTTCTTCCAAAGTCTTACAAATACTTCTCTCGCCTTCTTAGGAGTTTTGATGCAATCAATGCCTCTTAAAGTATCCCTCCACCCGCTAATGTGATGTTCTGAAACCTCCCACTAACTCATTTTCACGTGACTCTTGGGGAACTCACTCCGTGACTTTTCAAAGTAAGTTTGACACCATGAAAGGCTAATTCCCAGAAGGGATGGGGGTCAGAGCTGGGGGCTCATTATCATCTCCCTGAGCATCTTCTTCAGTGGCTTGGTTAGGGAGCTATGAGGCATTTCTACCTCTCCAGTTGTGCACTCCAGTGGTTCAGATCACCATCAGCTTCTTGCCTGGCATTGCCATGTCTGCTTGTCTCTGGAGAATCCTGGGCCCAGAGTTATTCCCGCTGTCCTCAGGCCTTCCTCTACCCCCTCTGCTTGCTTCATCTGTGAGCTTCCATTTCCTCCCTGGAGTTTTCTGTCCCCATCCCCTTTCATTAGGTTGACAGCAATGATAGACATTGCAAGTTTATAATTCCACAGACAGTGAATGGACAGAGGGAAGGTGCTGTCCCTAAGTCTAATAAAGCAAAGAATGAATTGAATGTTCTGGCCATGAGTGTGATGCAATTACTCTGACACACTGTAATGCATTTATTTTCCATTTGGTATCATTTTCTTGTTGTTTATATATTAACATTGCTACACTGTAAAGGACACACACCATTTTTTGTGCATATAAACAGAGATAAGATGTTCACAACGTGGAAATTAACAATAAAACAGATTTGAGCCTTAGCTTAAAATAAAACTTAGTCTAAAGATAAAACTGGACTGGGTGCAGTGGCTCACGCCTGTAATCCCAGCACTTTGGGAGGCCAAGGTGGGCAGATCACATGAGGTCAGGAGTTTGAGACCAGCCTGGCCAACATGGCGAAACCCCATCTCTACAGAAAATACAAAAATTAGTTGGGCATGGTAGCGCATGGTGGCACATGCCTGTAATCCCAGCTACTTGGGAGACTGAGGCAGGAGAATCGCTTGAACCTGGGAGGTAGAGGTTGCAGTGAGTGCAGATTGTGCCACTGCACTACAGCCCGGGTGAAAGAGCAAGACTCTGTCTCAAAAACTAATAATAATAAAATAAAATAAATAAAAATAAAACTAATTTGAGCCTTAGTTGCTTCCGGAATAAACATATGTGTAAAGAAATAAACTTTTGTCACTAGCAAGTACCCTATAAAAGTTTTAAAGGTCCTATCAATGTTGGAGCACTCAAGTTAGATCTAGCTGCTGCTGCTGCTGCTGCTGCTTCTTCTTCTTCTTCTTCTTCTTCTTCTTCTTCTTCTTCTTCTTCTTCTTCTTCTTCTCCTTCTTCTTCTCCTTCTCCTCCTCCCCTCTTCCTCTCTCTTTTTTTTTTTTTTTTTTTTTTTTTTTTTTTTTTTTTCCTCCCTCCTCCTCCTCTCCTCCTCCTCCCCTCCTCCCCTCCTCCTCCCTCCTCGGTCACCCCCAGGCAATTTGTATTTTAGTGAATCATTCTCATTTATTTGATGTGCTATTTTTTGAGATTTATTTTTGAGATGGAGTCTTGCTCTGTCACCCTGGCTGGAGTGCAGTGGCGCAATCTTGGCTCACTGCAACCTCCGTCTCCTGGGTTCAAGTGATTCTCCTGCCTCCGCTCCTCAAGTAGCTGGGATTACAGGCTTGCACCACTACACCCAGCTATCGTTTTTTTTTTTGTTTGTTTGTTTTTTTTGTTTTGTTTTGTTTTTTGTTTTTGTATTTTTAGTAGAGATGGGGTTTCATCATCTTGGTGAGGCTGGTCTTGAACTCTTGACCTCAGATGATCTGCCCCTCTCAGCCTCCCAAAGTGCTGAGACTACAGACGTGAACCACCATGCCTGGTCAGCATCATTATTTTTAGAAATAAACAACAGATATTATAAATGTTGTTTTTCTAAAAAAAATGATAAATCTGTATTTTAAAAAGTACTTAAACACATGATAAAGAATCCTCTTAAAAAAGCCGACGGTTTATAAAACCCTGATAAGATCCCTTTTCACTTACTAGACATCGTTACACTCCTTGGCTTAGCACAGGTATTCCATCATGATTGAGCACCTACTCAACACTCCACTTTCATCTAGAATGCTTTTTCTCTTTAATTTTCTTCATTTTACTGGTGAAAAAACAGAGCTGCTGGGAAGTAAATAACTTTTCCTGTTCTCAGTAAATGAGGAGGTCAGATTTAAAAACTAAATCCAGCTGGTTCCAAAGATTATGAGTTTCCCAAGGGCCACAACAGCCCATGGTGATCACCCTTGCCCAGAATGCCCTTCTCATTAGGTCGATTCTCTCATTCTTCAGAATTCATCATAAGTTTCCCTCTCCTAAGAAGTCCTCCCTGGCCTCTGTAAGCTGCCCATAACTGATCCAATAGGCCCTACCATCTTTATTCTAACATGTACTGTGTTGGGTTGCCTAACATGTACTGTGAGTTACTTGCCTAACTCACACAAATCAATAA